AGAGGCCAGACAAGTTTTATCTGGAAAGAAACATTAGAGTGTGTTATATGAGAGACAATAGCCAAAAATATTGCACAGTAGATGTCCAGTATTAGCTGAGCTAGACCACAATATAAGAGGTAGAGACAAAGCAGGTGTATTCTTATAAATACATATTAGCATGTATTATCTGATTGGCAATAGCCACATATATTGTACTGTGGCTGGACAGTACAAAAGCAGCTTGGCTAAGCCACAGTATAAGAGGGAGAGATGGGGCATGTTTTATCTTGAAATATTCACTAGAATTTTTTATCTAAGGAACAATAGCCACAAATATTTTTGAGTGCCAGAGTATCGAAATAGTCCATAAAAACTATGCAGGATTTACGGAAATTTTGCAGCAGAAATCAAGCTGGGGAAACAATGTATGGCACCTGTACAGTGCTGGGACACCAGAGTGGGCTGAAAACTGAGACACAATGCAGGACTTACTGGGTAGCAAACATTAGAAATTTTGCATCTGGAAATGAGCTGCCAAAATATTTTGTTGCAGCTTTACATTTCCTGGACACCAGAATAGAGCACAAATGCAATGCAGGATTTACTCTACAGCAAACAATTACAATTTTTTTAGCTGAGACTGAGCTGTAGAAACATTTTGGGGCACTTTTACAGTAGAGCTGAATCACTGAAATTAACCCAAACATAGGAATAACCCAGGACTTGCCCTTCAGCAAACTTTAGACTCTGCCTACTTTTAGGCGATCTCTGAAAACCTATCTCTTCAGGTAAGCCTATCCTGCCTTCAGCTAATAACAAAATCTTCTATTCCTTCTATCAGTTCATCTATTACCTTTTGTACCACCAGCCCCTCCCTCTTAGATTGTAAGCTCCAAGTAGCAGGGCCCTCCTAACCTCTTGTATTGAACTGTATTGTTGCTGTATTGCCTCCCTTTATAATGTAAAGTGCTGAGCAAACTGTTAGTATTATATAAATCCTGTATAATAATAATAATTAGATGTTTTGTAGCTGAGATTAAGCTGTGGAAACATTGTGTGGCACACTCACAGTTCCAGACTTGTAATCTGTAAAGTGCATTTTTGGCAAGCACTTTTGATTTAATATTCTGTTAAGGATATTTTGATATTATGTTTCTTGTTCAAATTGTTTTATTTTATTTATGTTTAGATTTATAGATTAGGCACTATGGAGAGTAGTTCATTGCTATCAGTGCCTACTGCTTAACTGTTTAGATATCAGCCCCATAAGTTGCGCATTGGCTTCAATCAATTGGCTAACTTGTATTGTGAGTATGAACAGTAAAGCATTGTAGTGAAGATCCTTCATATGTAATAAGCAAATATGACAACCTCATATACTGTACAGAGAATTTTTTTTTTAACTCATTACTAAGATAAAATTATTTATACTGAGCTCCTTTATGTTTATCTTGCTTAAGCAAAAGTATAACCAGGCAGGTAATGGTGAGGTGGACATAAAGTGTACCTCTGACCAGGAGGGCATATACAGTAAATAATTACATATTTTTAACATGCAGATAGTATATTATGGACTGATTCATGGTCACAGTACGACATCCCCTATTTAATAGGTAACAAGGGTCTCTTTTAAAGTATGGTACTTTAAAAGATACCAAAGAGCACCAACAAAATAATAATCATTTAAAATTTCCCTGGTTTTATTCTTATTCATGTTAAAACCACAAAGAATTGCATGCATTTATTCAGTACTCTTTCTGTATATGTATCTCTTAACAGCCTCGTAATAAGCTCCAGCCATACGAAAACCTCCAGTTTGGCTCACATATCTACTTAAAGACATCAAATATTCAGTTATCTGTTAATTCCTCACCCAATATTTGTGGAAGGAATAGATACATTCTCAATGTGTTTCCCAGATATTAAATCTTCTTCAGGTCAAAAGAAGGAAATGGATTTATTGATTTTATATTCAGCCAGTCAAGCACACAATCTAATCGCACTCCATAAGTGGGAGGAAAGGCCAACGGGGATATGAAGAAGCTAGTATTAGTTCAAAAAAAATAGTACAGTATATCAATGAACATTTCAAAGATAGAATCCAGAGGACACAGTATCAACAGCCCTTTGCAAAACAATATTTCTAATTGTCAATCCCTGACTTCAATATAACAGTATGAATGAGTTTTAGCCAGCCTGTGGATATTTAACCAAAAACTTGGGGAGCACTGTCAATTTTGTAATGTAGACAAAATACGTCCAACCAGAAGATATCTAATTACATGGTCTGGAAAGAGCTGCTTTTGGTCTTCATTTGGTTGGATATCAGATTCCTTCCTAGTCCGGGACTATTGTTTTACCGCCATATTGATAGCGCCCTTAGTTTCTTGATCATCTCTGATTGAGTTTCGACAGCTTAAAAAAAGGATCTGTGGAGTAGTTTCCACCTAACCAGTGTTGGACAAAGTACACAGGGCATGTTTATCTTGTGTAGCTTGGCCTGTTCATCTCCTCCATGCCTCTCTTCCCCTTGCAATTGATGCCAAGCCCTGGCTGTCATGAAAGTCAGGAGTTGCTATGTAAATATAACAGTGTTTATTTAATTCGAAGATAACCAGTAACATTTTTACTTTTGTATTTACTCTGTTCCATTCATCTATAGATCAAAGAGATGCTCTTCCATCTGGATAGGATGTTAAAACAACCTGAGAGTTAAAAAAAAACCCTTTGACATGATTCCTTTGCTCCTCATTACATTATGGCTGGTTCTCTTTTCTCTCCCTGCTATCGTCACCTCTAAGGTGGAGTAGGAGAGAGAGAGAAAAAAATAATCAAATGACCAATATAATTTAACAGAAGAAAGCCTTGTTGTCCTAAAAAAAAATATATGTATTATACTGTATGATTATCCACATGGAAGAAAAATATATTTTAAAATATATTTTTTAAATATTCTTCCAAAATATATTGACATATATTTGAAATCCTACAATTTTGGCCATATTCAATATATTTCAAAATATATTTAAAAAAAAAAAAAAAAAATATATATATATATATATATATATATATATATATACAGTTGTGCTCAAAAATTTGCATACCCTGGCAGAAACTGTGAAATTTTGGCATTGATATTGAAAATATGACTGATCATGCCAAAAAATGCTCTTTTATTGAAGGATGATGATCATATGAAGCCATTTATTATCAAATAGCTGTTTGTCTCCTTTTTAAACCATAATGATAACAGAAATCACCCAAATGGCCATGATCAAAAGTTTACATACCCTGGAATGTTTGGCCTTGGTACAGACACACAATGTGAGACACACGGGTTAAAATGCCAATTAGAGGTAAATGTCCCACATCTGTGGCTTTTTAAATTGCAATTAGTGTCAGTGTATAAATAGTCAATGAGTTTGTTAGCTCTTACGTGGAAGCACTGACTAGGCTAGATACTGAGCCATGGGGATCAGAAAAGGACTGTCAAAAGTCCTGCGTAACAAGGTAACGGAACTTTATAAAGATGGAGAAGGACATAAAAAGATGCCCAAAGCCTTGAATATGCCAATCAGTACTGTTAAATGACCTATTAAGAAGTGGAAAGTTCGGGGATCTCTTGATACCAAGCCAAGGTCAGGTAGACCAAGAAAGATTGCAGCCATAACTGCCAGAAGAATTGTTCGGGATACAACTGTGTGTGTGTATATATTGTATATATATATATATATATATATATATATATACTGTATATATATATATATATATATATATATATACTGTGTGTTGGTTGAAATGCATTTTTATTACAAAATATAAGAAAACATTTAAAAAAAAATACATTTTCAAATATACTGCATGTCTTTAAGAATACATTCAATCTGGAGTGCATTTACAAATATTTACAAATATATGTACAAATATATGTTAAAATGACGTTTTTATATGTTAAAAACATCTGAAGAATATATTTCAAAAATATATATTTTTAAAATTGAAATATATTGAATACGGCCAGAATTATAGTATTTGAAATATATGTCAATATATTTGGGAAGAATATTTTTTTTAAAAATGTTTAAAGTATATTTTTCTTCCATGTGGGTACAAACACTTGATGGCACTATGGGGGTAGTGAGAGAAGCAAGGGGAGCTGAGCTTCTTTAGACAAGGACCTCAGTGCTTATGCTGTGAAAATGAGAATGCATTTCCTTACAGTGCCTGCAGCTATGAAGATCAGTGATAGCTTGATTTTAAAGCAAATTTGCTGCTTGCCAACTTAAAATGAGAATGCCCATGTCCTGCCACAGTTAGACTTTAATGAACCAAAAAACACTCCAATTAACAAGCAAAATTCACATTAGTGCCTTCTCAAAACAGGTACTTGGCAGAGCTGTGCTCCACGTGTATATCTTCTAAAAGACATTACCTTCTAGAACTACAAATTATTGCGAGTTAAGAGTTATTCCTTGCAACCTTTATGCTTTATCCATTATATACTTATTCTGAGTTTAAATAATGTTATTTATGTTCACTTAATTGCTATACTTGAAGTAAGATGTCTTCAAATACTCTTTAAAGGTTCCATTTGTTTTCAAACTCTGCCATCTAGTGGAAAAGCTATCTTCATGCAAGCAACTTTTCCTCTATAACTTCATTGACTTTTAAAACTACTCATAAAGGAATGACAAATGATATTACAGTGGAGCATCTAATATGTAACCACATATTAATATTTATATACAGTATTTTATTAGAATTACTGATACTGGGATAACAGTTATAATCAAATTAACAATAATTAATGCTTTTTTCTCTTAGATCCAAACAGTTGAACATTTGCTTCCTATTATTACTGTGTTTTGCGTATCGAGCAATATCACTGTTGATAATTGAGATTTTGTTTCCTGTGAATATGGAGTGCACTTTTAAAATGATTGTGTTCATTTTATATTGATTAGGTGGGAAAAATAAGAAAGTCTACAGCCAGGAAGAGAGAGTACCATGTTCTTTTCATGGTTCTTACCACAGTCGTCTGCTACTTGATTTGTTGGATGCCTTATGGTGTGGTCGCCCTGCTCGCTACCTTTGGAAGTCCTGGAGTGGTGACACCAGTTGCCAGTGTGATACCTTCCATTCTGGCCAAAAGCAGTACTGTATGCAATCCGCTAATCTACATTTTTATGAATAAGCAGGTAAACCTATAAATATTTTAACATTTTATAAGGTGATTTAGAACTATTTAATTCTAGAAGGTTTTTATAGGAAAAGCAATACAAATACACTGAATTGTATCGTTAGCTTAATCATAACTTTTTTCTGGTTTGGATAAAGCAAGGAACACTGATTGTATTACTGCCTATGTCCCAGCCACTGGGGAGATTCACCGTCCGTTTGTCTAGAACAGACTTTCTCAACCAGGGTGCCTTGAGGTCTTCTTCAGGGGTGCCTTGGCAAAATGTCTAAAAATTGCCCAAAACGTGCATACAAGCCAGCGGGTGGAACAAGCCTGCCTTTTAGTTACACAAAGTCACAGGTTTTCATTGTGCACCATTACGACCTTCTAGTCACCAGTGTCCTGACAGCCAATGACATCATCAGTTGATAAGGTGGATGTCAGCTGCCAGCACAGCATCCTATTGTGACCCTCCCCTGCCCCTCTCCATCAGTACTGGGGTCACATTAGCTCAGTGATGGAGAAAAATTGAGGGAGAAGAGAAACACTGGAATACTAATCAGTACTAGTGTGCAAAAGTGTATTTGCTTTGGAAAAATAAATCCCCTCTAATGTTGAGTGTCCTACGTGTGTGGGATGTTGCTGAGTTACATAAAACTATAAGAATCGTTTTTCACATTTTAGAATGGGGTGCCTTGAAACTGTCCATAATTTTAAAGGGTGCCTTGACTGAAAAAAACACTGGTCTAGATCATCTATGTCTGGATAGATGTAAAATCCAAAATTTTGCAGTTGCTACTCGGACAGAAGTTGAAGGGAAATTCAATAGGCCCACCCAGTATGGGGACAATGGTCTTAAGGGCTTCTCTTCATTTTGGGGTGATTTCCACTCACTTTACGTTGTACCTCCTTGACAGGAAGCAAGGAAAAAGTCTCCCAAAGGCAACAACAAAAAAGAAAAAAAAAATTGCTGACAGGTTCTAACCCTTTCTCTAGACCAGGGTGTCCAACCTGCGACCCTCAAGCCTCAATACAAAATTATAAACTTACTTAAAAATGTTGATTTTTTTTTTTTCCTGCAGGGGAATTTTTGGTAAAAATGCATCTACACTTAGTGAACACATGCAGCCGACTGAAAATTTGACAGTGTCTTTTATAAATGTTAACTTCATAAAGAAAAAATATCCCACGCTTACACAATCATTCATTATTCATGTCCTTGAACTGTTTTCAAGGATGAAGCACGTGAAGGGCAAAAATTTGATCCAAATTATCTGATGAGCAGCTTGAGAAATCATTGAGATTTTCCACTATATCCATCATACCAGATATCGATGGGTTAGTTTATCAAAAACTGTATCAAATATTGCACTAGTTTTAAGTTGCCTACTTTTACACTATAAATATTACAAAAAAATGAAGTTGTATTGCTCAGATAGGTATACTATCAGTTGTGATCTGCCCAGCCTTTTCTACTCATCAGCTATCCTTATTGTTTTATGTGTGGCCCAAGACAATTCCTCTTCTTCCAATGTGGCCCAGGAAAGCCAAAAGGTTGGACACCCCTGATCTAGACCTAAAACAAAATAAAAACTATAACATTTTCTGCCTGTTCTGAAACTGCATAGAAAGCAATACTAACCCAAGGTAGGAGGAAAGGGGAAGTGAAGAATACAACCCCAGTCTGTTACAGATAAGTGAATGACACAGAAATCAGTCAGTGTCTAGGAACAAACAGTGCCTTTTTGGCTCCATAGTGCACAGCGGTAAAATCAGTATATAAAAGTGAGGGTTATCACTGCCGATTTTTAATAGGCCCATATGTAATTTGCATTTACTTGTGCTCTCAGCTTTTTACCACTTCAGCATAGAAATACCTGGTACATTTGAGTATGGAGGAGCATGTAACAGCACTGGATCAAGTCAGCGCTGTCATGTGGCAAGCCCATAGCAGTGTGAAAGCTTTGACTCCAGGAGCTCGTAGCTTGCATTTGAATTTTTTTCGCTTCTGGTGGCTGAACGAGGGGGGTGCTATGGCGCATCTGTTCCCCAGGGGGTAAAGTACAAGAACTGTGTCAGAAGAAACAGTTAATCAGAGTTGTAAATACTCCAATAATAATCTGACCGTGTACAGAAAAACAGGTGCAGGTGTCTGAGCCTTGGTTATGTAGCACTCCCCCCCCCCCTAGGAGTTGCTGAGTTTTGGGTCCCGCAATAGTCCTGCACAGCCAGGCAACATGTGTTTTCCATACCAACTCACATCCACGAGACAGTAACCAGTCCTTGAGCTTGGGTTTTTTGGATTTTATAGAGGAATTTGAACTTGGATGGGGTACAGGGTGTATGGGATGCACAAAGGGAATTGCAACTGAGGCAATCTCCCTGGAACTATGTACAAGTCTCTTTAGACAGCAAAAATCCTCTTCTGGAGAGCTAGCCAGCATCTCCTGTTGTACCACCCCAGACCGAGATACTCCTTTATCCAGATGTTCTGGGTGAATCCCTGGGCAGGGAATCCAGTGCCTGTCACTCTAAGTGTAAGACAGTGCCAGGTAGAAGCTAATCCAGTTTCCCACCAGAGTGCTCCTTCCCCAGACTGGCCCAGGGGGTGCTGCTCTCAGGCCTTCTGCTGGGCCACTCCTTCCCTGCTGAATAGATGGTCCTCACTCTGGGGGCCAATGAGGTCCTGGGATTTCCTCCTTTCTAGCTCCTCTGCCTGTAGGTGAGCCCTTTCCCATATGGCCCCCTCCCAGGCTCCTGCTCTCCAGCCTGGGACCAGGCTGTCCTGGTCCCAAGCCAAGAACAAGTAGGTGCTATGCCCAGAGATAATCCCCACGGAGGTGGAATGCTGATGCTCTGGCTCTGTGTGTCTTCCTAGCAGGTGCAACTGAATGATGAGGATTGGTATAGCCAGCATTCATCTTCCCAAATAATAAACTTTATTGAGTGAGTAAAATGTGCATATGAAATGGCTTGCATGTTTTGGCAATAAGCCTTAGTCATAGCTATGGCTATGACTAAGGCTTATTGCTGAAACACATAAGCCATTTTATATGTGCATTTTACTGGCTCAATAAAGTTTATTATTTGGGAATCCTCATCATTTAGTTGGCCCCAAGCCAAACCTTCTGTTGGGGATTGGCCAGGTATCACTGAGAGTGCAGACCAGCCACTCCTCACTTCCTCTCACTGCTTCTAGAATCTTCTCCAAAATTCAAGAGCAGGGTGAAGTTCCAGAGAGCTGGTCGGTAGAGCCTCTAAGCTCTGACCTGAATTTGACCTCCCTCTGACTATTACTCAGCCTCTAACAACTGGACTCTAGCTCCCCCTAGCTATCTAGGAGGGTGTTACAGTAACATCATTTGGAGCTCAAAGATACAACCATACTCATCCGATATCCTTCCTGCCAAGATTCACTTGCTGCTTTCACATGCAATGTCAAGCTGCAGTTTCTAAAGCGAGCAAAATCCACTCTTGTATTAAAAGAGGTATAGACTCCAGAGAGAGAGATATCATATTACCCCTGTACAAATCATTAGTGAGACCTCATCTGGAATATGCAGTTCAGTTTTGGGCACCAATTCACAAAAAGAACATTGGGGAACTGGAGAAAGTACAGAGAAGGGCACCAAACTGATAAGAGGCTTGGAGGAGCTCAGCTATGAGGAAAGATTAGAGGAACTGAATTTATTCTCTCTTGAGAAGAGGAGATTAAGGGGGGATATGATCAACATGTATAAATACATCAGTGGTTCATATAGTGAACTCGGTGTAGAGTTATTCACCATGAGGTCACCACAGAGGACAAAGGGGCACTCTTTACGTCTGGAGGAAAAGAGATGTAATCTCCAAACACGGAAAGGTTTCTTCACAGTGAGAGCTGTGAAAATGTGGAATAGACTCCCTCAAGAGTTGGTTCTGGCCAGCTCAGTGGATTGCTTAAAAAAAGGCCTGGATTGTTTCTTAGATACACAGAATATAACTGGATACTAACATTTATACATAAAGTTGATCCAGGGAATATCTGATTGCCTCTCGGGGGATCAGGAAGGAATTTTTTTCCCAGCAGGAGCAAATTTGATCATGCTTTGCTGGGTTTTTTTTGCCTTCCTCTGGATCAACTGTGGGTATAGGATTATAACTTTTTTTTTTTTAATGGTTGTACTGGATGGACTTTTGTCTTTTTTTCAGCCAGACTAACTATGTAACTAATCCAAACACAGTTAAGGACATATCCAACAGTTAGCTTATTTTATTATAATTCCTTACAAGTGTATTTCTGGAATTTGGGTTTCATTATTACTTCATGTTTCGGAGATCCTGGAAGGATGGAAATATGAAAGAGAAATAAAGAGGATCCATGGCCACCACCCTAATCCTAACTTCACTACCTAAAGAGTCATAATAGATGCTTTGACATTTCCAGACTTAAATGGTTACATGCTTGTTACATGTCAGAGACAAACCAGGTTGCTAAGCCAGGATTCTGAATCATAGAGCATGCATTTAAATGCAGGTCCTATCCTATCAGGTGCTCTTTCAAAGTTGAGTAGTTTTTACCATGCTTACAAGTTTAGGTGATGGACAGCTAAATGTAAATTTAAAAATCTGCCACAAGGGGGTGAACCAACCTAAGAATTCATCTCTATTAAATACTGTAACTGCGAGAATCTGTCAAGTTAAACCTCTCCAGAGTCTTACAAATTACAGCAGCTGCACCTGTTTAGTAATGGCAATCTACAAACAGATACACCTAGATAATTACAGGTGTTTTATTCTTTGCATACTTTATTTGTCTTTTCTGACTGATCAGTCAGCATTGTAATAAGAAATCCTGCAATTTTTGTTCCTCTGTTTAAGTAACTCAACTAAAACACTGTGCAGAGCAGGGAAGATGGACACCGCTCATACCGATCCCAAGGAGTCAGAAAGAGAAAGACGCTATGTTGTGAGTGGCCTTAGCCATCATACTGGCCACGCGCCCTTTGACACGTTTCACCCCACTCATAGAAGGCATGGTCACAGAGACTG